AGCAGAGCCAATATAATTATTTTCATCTATTACAAAAATACAGGGAAAAATAATTTGTAAGAGGAAATAGCTTATATAATTAAAGAAGTAACTTCATTAAGAAAATATTGAATTCTAGTAAAACAAAATTTTGTCTGCTGTTTAAGAAATTAGTTTCCAGTAGTAAAAACATCTGCAGAAAATTATTTGTATTTAGCAAATGACAACAAAGTAATGACTGAAACTGTCTTTCAAAGACAATTGCACAGAACATTTATTAGGTCCCTACTTATTCACAGCGGACAGAGCCAGTAGGTATTCTCTTGTTCACTGCCTGCAAGTCTGAAGCTAGAGCTAATCAAGACTTGTCTCAGTTCCTCCTCCCATACCATGTCCATGCCTATGATGCTCTCTGGGACTTGGCCACTCCCTCTTGCTTTTCTGGCAGCTCACTCTCTCCTCTGCCCAGTTTGCAGCCTGTTAAAGACAGTGGTGTGTGAAGGATCACCAGGATGTATCCAACAGAATATGTTAGGAGCTATACTGCATAGTGCTGCAATACCTTCAGGTTAGGAGCCTGACTACAGAAGTGATTCATACGACTGAGACAGAGCATATTTAATAGAGACAGTTGGATTCCCAGGATTCAATTTGCAAAAATCCAGTCAGCTGTAGGAGCACCTCAATCAAGAAACAGGATTTCTTCTGGTGTCCTGTTTCTTGTTTTAAAAAGAAATATTGTTCTTGGCTATATTTCTATGAGATTATTTTGTTATGCATTGCTCTTAATCTGTTGAAGTTGGTCTGAGTCATAAACATCTGATACAGATAGGCACTTCTGTGAGGATTAAAGAAGAAAAGGTCTGGAAAGAGAAGTTAAACCCTTGTTTTCCTGGGTATTTACAGATATTTCCCACTCCTCCCTACTTATTTCGGCATGTGGGAATGATATTGTAACTTTGACAACTGTAAAAGACTCACAGACTAGTAGCTTTTCAGAACATTTATTATATTGTATACATAGTTCATATCTTGTGCTTAAACTCATTAAACTCTCTGTTGTGTATGAATGTGAGGCATTTGAATAGGCAGCCCAGAGTAGTTGTGGATGTCCTATCTGCCAAATTATTTAACCAAATAAATATAGACTATAAATTCTGAATCACTGTGCCTATCTGTTATAGTGTCTAGCTTTTTATTAATTCAAAATTCAGAGAATACAGTCCCACTGAACTCCAACTCAGAAAAGAGAACATTTCATCAGCAACTAATTCAATTACTCAAAACCACAGCACTGTAGATTTGCTGTTTTGGTTTGGTCAGCAATTTTAAATAAAATCCTATTTGTGAGGGATTTAGAACTTGGTGATGAAGGCTAAGACCATAACTTGGCTTAGACTGAGATTATGGGATAATAATTGTTTCAAGGTGTAAGAACACTAAGTATATATAGGTGATAAGATTTTAAGGTGTAAGAATAGCAAATACATACAATCTGATTTTATACACATATAGATATTATATTTGCTGCTCTTACTGGAGAGGAGAAGTATAAAGGGAAGAAAATTACTGTCTGGTTTAATTTAGCTGTAGAAGTGCATTACAAATCACAAGAGAATTTTTTGCTATTTTTTTGCTGTTTCTACTGCTGACTTATTTTGTGTTTATTTTTTCAGTTCTTTGTTACTTGGAAACAACAGAATTAAAGATTGCTATCACAATGGCAAACTGTGAAAACTGAAACAATTTTTCTTATGACTTTAATTCCACTTTCTAAATTTTCCATTAAAAATAATTTTGTGGTAATTCTCACAGTCAAACTTGATGAGACTTTTATTTTTGTGTCATACAATATCTTACAATATATCAACTATAAATGAGATGTTTGAAGGCATATCCAGATAAAAGGAGAAGTTTATAAGGGCTCAAATTGGACAAGTGCTGATGTAGCTTTAAGGTTTTGGGTTTGTTATTGTTTGGTTTGTTATTCTAGGTATCCTAGCTGTTTCTCATGTTTATTACATTTGCAAGAAATAGGAATTGCCCCTGCCAAGACTTTGAGGCTGTTCTATTTTTCCTTCATCTCTGTGAAAGGAATGATGATAAGGAATTATCCTCACAACTCCTTGTGCAGTGCAGAAGAGCCTAAAATAGCTCTGAGCTGCCTGCATTTCTCAACTCCATCACTGAAATGCAAAAGAGCTGTGTTTGCATGACACTGAATAAGAAGACTAATTAGCAACCATGGATGTGTCACCTTGGCCTGGACCTGTAGGCATTGATCCTGGAGTCAGCTGGGATATTTCAGTCTTGCATTCCCTGGTTTGATGAACAACTACTGAGTGAAGGAAATGAAACAGTTATTTTAGTGTAAACCAGGATTTATTCTACTCAATCTCTAATAAGATTTGAGAAGTAAGAAGTGGATTTATGAAATCTGTAGGCTTGTTCCTTACTTAAATGAGTTATAGCAAGGGAACACTAAGCCCCCATTTAACCTCAAACACCACTGCATATCCTAGTTAAGGAACAATGAAATATTATCCTGTTATCACATACTGATCAGCATTTTATACAGAATTCAAACTGCTGTAATGTAATCTTTCTTCCTGTTGCTCCAGCAGTGGTTTTCAATAATTAATTCTGATTCACATTACCTTTACACTGACTTCAGTGGACATACTCTGATTCTGCATGAGTGCAAGGACTTAATCAGAAACACCCAGTGTCTTCTGTCTGATTTTTTTTACTATTGCTAGGATGTGTCCCTAACAAGTGCCCTGAAATCTTTTTTCTTAGCTGACACAGAAATACAGGAAAAAAGTAGGTCACTACCCCAAGAAGCTGAGAAGCTTTCCAGAAGGAAAGAAAATATTACATTTCTAACAGAGGCTGGAAAGTGGTGATAAGAATTATCTGTTTTCAATATCAAAAGAAAACTTCCTTTGTTCCTTATTTCTTTTCTCTTTTTGTTGCTGCTGCTGATTCTTTGGAATCAATACAGCATAGAACAATTAAAATTTAAAAAACCCTAAAAAATCAAAGAACACAACATGCTCCAAAGGTCGTGCTTATGGTCCTGTCAAGGGATGAGTTTTTCTTATAGTCTTGGTTTGACTGATAACATGATTGAAAAAATATACTTTACCACTTTTTCCTTCACCTTTTAGAAATAATGAATGGGAAGATTTTACTTTCTTTTTTTCTCTTTCTGGATTTTTGATTTTTTTTTTTCCCTGAAATACCTTCTCTCAAGGTAAAAAGTCTAGATACTGTCGGCTACAGCTCCAGTTTTCAAGGTTAAATCTGGGTATGATATTCCATCTGTGCTTGCTTGTCCCTAAGACGATTCTGCAGCTCAGACTGGGATCCTGACTAGCTTTACTGCTTTTTCCAGCTTGAACTCTTAAGATCTCCTAAATCTTATTTAAGTCTACAAACAGCTTATATTTAGCTGAAAAGATGAGGTGGTTTTGTATAGGAAAATGTCAAGCCCTCCTGCTATTCCATAGTAGAGCAAAACGGCTTACTCTTTGGCTTTCCTGGGTTTTAAAACACCTTTATTTTGCAAAGTAAGTAACATGCTGCCATCTGCTGGCCATGAGAAATTATTTTATTTCTTCAAATTACTTAAGGAATACAAGTCTTCAAAGTGTTAAGGAAGTTTGTTTGATGTTATTTTTTCGTCAGTAAAACTGTAGGTATCTAAGCAGCACAACCGTGCAAATACGATTTAATTATATCTTATAATTTACTTCAGGATCCCTGGGAAATCCTTCTTACTTGAACAAATACAAAGTCCTATTAAAAAGGTCAGCTACAACCTCCAAACTTCTTTTTAGCTAAAAGCCTGAAAATATGCAAATTTCCTTAAAGACAGAAAGAAAGGTGTACCCTCTCAAAGGATTTTTAATGTTCTTTAAAACCAAAACAAACAAAAAATGTATTTTCCCGGATAGTCTCTTGGTCCTGACTCTGAAAAATTTAAAAATATGACCGTGGAAGGACCTGCATGGAAGTGCAGTAAACTTATAAATATTTAAGAATGAAAGCTTTTGTTCTCTACCTTGTTTTCAAAGTAGTATATTTTTAAAGAAGAAAAACAAGAGAACAAATGTGATAACTGTTGGGTGGCTCTAGGTTATTTGTACTTCTGAATTTTGCTTCCTTCTTCATCTCCAGTTAAATTGATTATGTACACAGTCATATAATCTGAAGAATATATCTTTATCATTTCAATATGGAATATCAGAAAGGGAAAAAAACCCCCAAGTGAGCTCTGTTTAATCAGCTGAGAACCATAACTCAGTTCAAACTTGGCCTTCCCTGCTGGAGTGCTGGCCAAAGCTCCAGTGGTGTAGTGACATTCTGCAACCTGAGAGAACAGGTTTTACAATGAAATATCTGGTTGAACCAAAGTAATTTCCAATAGCATACAATGACCATTTGTTAAAGTGAAAGGGTAAATTATGTATTTTTGACTTATAATTTATATTTCACTTGCACATAAACAAATAGAGAAAACAGTCTATGTGTATGTGGGTAAGTAATCACACCCAATTATACAATCCAGGCCATTTTAAGTGACCATTTCAAGGTGTGTGTAGCAACTATTAAACTGTTCTGTTGGCAGAATGCTTGAAAACTGAAATACAAATGGAAATTAATTCTGCAATCCTGACTCTTGTGTTGTCACTTATACTGAACAAGATGAATATTTAAGAAATACTGGGGTAAATACTGCTGCTCCTTTCTATTCAGTTGTTTTAGTCAATACGAGCATGCCCAAAGCACAGGCCACCATCAGATTTTACAGGTCATAAAAATATGTTTAGTAAAACATCGTTTCATCCATTAGGATAATTGGTGATAGAACACCACTGTTTTGTTTTCAAATTACTGTTTTCTTTTCCTCAATCGTATATTTTCCTTCTAATACCCTTGTTTTCTAGCATATAAGAGAAGCATATTGAACTCCTGGCCTTGTTGCTAGGTTTCAAGCTGCATTTATGCAGTCTACTGAGACATTCTTTTCTTTTTTGAATTCTGAATCAAGTCCCAAGGCAACAGTGCCCTGTTTCTTAGCAACACAGATGGGTAGACTGTATATTCCATCTCTTTTGTACAATGGAATAATAAACAATTCCCTGAGTAAGTGTGTGCTGCAAGTCCATTACTTCACTTAATTTCCTGGAGAAAAGAGGAAAGGAAAGCCTTCTGTGGTACAGCAGATGAAATTTGTCTGGAAGTCCCTGTCTCTGCAGAGTGGTGAGTCATATCTCTATTTTTTCTGTTCTCTGCATCTCTCTGGGGTCTTTATTCACCACTGTGCATATGAATCTGTAGGTACTTTGCATCAGTGAATTCCAGTTTCTAAGATACAAATAGAGGCATCAAAAATCAATGGTAACAAAGCTGGCAGAGGTGGGATGTGCAGAAGTACACAGACTTTTTGTTCTGGTGAAATTAATGGACAGTCATAGAATGGCATAGCTTTAGAAACTCTGGATGCAAACCCTTGATTTTAGGAAGGAAATTAGGGCTAGAGAAAATAGGCAGTGATTAAGAGGTAAGGAGGAAATGTGCATTCATGCAACTAACATGCTAGTAGTCTGTTACCTGTGTTTAAAATGGAGAAACGTTATCCTTTTAACACAGTCTCTGCAGTTTTAGGCAGTTTTGAGTCTTTTAGGAAATACAGGCAAATTCTGAATTTTGTTGCCTCCAGATTGTGCGACTAACATTATCGTGGAGGGGGAGGAGTACAAGGGAGAGGAATGGGGGAAGAGAAGGACTCAGCTCTGCAGAGCTGAACATTTCTGCTCCTGATGCCTGTGGAGGGGCAGGTGCATACATCATCTTCTCATGATGGCAACGGCAGCAATGCAAAGCTTCAGACAGTAGAATTTTAGCACAGAGTAGAAGAACAGAAGCACTTGTGCTATTCATCCCACTAACCTTGGACGTACCTGCTTTACCTGGACCTTAAGCTGGCCTAGTCAGTCTGCCAATATCTCAGTTTAGTTACAAAACAAGAAAAGGATGCTTTACATGTAGAAAGAATCAACAGTCAAATTCTTCCCAAAATTTATTATATGATGAGGTAAACACAGCAGCTGGCTATGGTGGGGCAGCTGGTTTGCCTGTAGACTGCCCACGCACACTTGATGGGAAGCCTGGGCCACCTCAGAACACAAAGTGCCCACTCAAAGTCCCTACTCACCTCCTTCTAAGCTGCAACGGGGGCAGGTTGTGCTTCAGTGTCTGGATAGCCTGAGTATGATCTGTGAAGTAGAGAATGAGTTTTGGACCCTTCCCAAAGGCTGTCCTGCATCAGGGATCTGCTGCAGCTGGAAGTGTTCCAGCTGTGGGGTCCTGGGCTGGAAGGAACCTGTCCTGGCAGCACAGCATAGCTGAACATGGCCTGGGAACCAAAATCACCTGAAAAAAAAAAAGCACAGATATGTGACCTTCCAGAAGTAATTTGTGGGTACTTGATTTATTTCCAGTAAGCTGCCCATTCAAATACTTGTTCAGAAACACAGCTTTGTTGGTAAGGACATATTTCCATATGCCCTTATCCTTCAATGGACCATGACCTTCTTTTAGAAAAAAAACAAAAAACCAAAAAAACATTCTTTTCTCAGAATGAATAAGTACTAAGAAAAGAAACTTGTAATGTTAGAGCTTTCCTTCAGGTTTCCTGAGCATTGAGTATTAGAGTAGGAAAACTTTGTTTTTATTGTGTTTGGGCCTTCTGCAATACCTTATGTCCTTCTTTCAGATTTTCAGGGCACAAAAGGAGCTCTGTGTAAGAAAGATAACAGTCTGTTAGTGGCTCTTAGTCACGGAGATAAAACAGAAAATATGGATAAGGTAGTATCTACATCCAGTTTGTGCACTGAGCTAAATACTTTACTGCCTATTTAAGGTGATAATGCTGCTCCAGTGGTCCTTCATCCTGCCCAGGGGCATCCTTGGGTGTAGGAAAGGACCTTCTTCTACCTCTGGGCAAAAAAGAAGTTCATGGCACTGGCTGACCAGAAAGCCCATGGCAGGACATAACATCTGGGCACATATTAGGATGGGGTACAGCAATGGGGTAGCTCTAATTAACATTGTGTCCTGGGTGTGCCCAGGAATGCAGAGAAAGATGAAAATGCATCAGGATTAATGGAGAGCAGAGCTTCAACATTTCCCTCTCCTGAGGTTCTTTTTGTCACCACTGCTTGTACAAAGTGACACTGGTGTGCTCCCAGTTGTGCCCCAAACCCTGCTGTGCTGCCCTGCATGTGCACTGGTTTAGTCACCTGTGAGGGATGTACTGCTTAATGAGACAAGAATTAAAATATGAAAATGGGGTGTATTTGTGTTGATACATAGTGATGAGTACTCCAGGTAAAATGAAATTCAGAGCTCCTGTTCCTACAGGCTGGTATGAATGTGTAAATTCCTAACATGCATGCTTTTGACTTCAGGTGGGCTTTCTCTAGGTTCAGGAGCTTCCTTAATCAGGTTACTTTGCAGAAGTGAAAGACAGAACCAAAAAGCAGTATTTCTTCATCTAAGCACAGGTACAAAATAACATTAAAGTACAACCACATATGGTTGTACTTTATCTTCAGTGAAAGTGCTGGGTTGTGCAGACAAGTATAGTCAGAGTGAAAGTAGCAATCAGTAATAAATGTACTGATTTTGTACTCTGTGTGTGTGTGTGTGTGTGTGTGTGTTGGGTTTTTCTTTTTCTTTTTGCCAGGGACTGCAATATTTGAGAAGAAAAAATTAATCATCAGGCCATTATGTTCATCCTCCATCAAGAAGAGAGAAAATTTTTTCTTGAAACTCAAGGAAAATTTTCTGCAAGGCTTGACTGCCCTTTCTCATAAGAACAAACTGCAGTGAAGCAATCCAAAGCCAACAAGATTTATGGCTGAAACAATCTCCTGATTTTAGATACCAGCTCTGTAAGCCATCCAACCTTCCTCAGAAGCCACAAAGAAAGGGAAAGGGGGAACTGAGATTTCAGTGAGTGTCATTTTGGCAAGTTTCAGTACTTGGAACTGGACCTGATATCATCCCAGTCCATTTCCTCGTACTCACTCCATTTGCAAATTTGCTTTTTTTTTTCTTAATTGCATTTGATTTTATCATATTGCCTTTCCAGAAAGCTGTTACTCTTTGCTCTGTGATTTCAAGATTTTATTTCCTTTGATGAAATGAAGAATTTCAGTCTTGTGATTTCAGTGAGGATTAATTTGGCAAGGTTTGGTCCATCTCATTGCACTCCATGTTATCCCAAACTATTTCATTGTATTAATTCCACTTCCAAATTTTCTTTTTTTTAATTGCATATTATTGTATTTATCCCAATTCCAGAGTGTTTGTTACACTTTGTTCTCTGATTTCAAGATTCAATTTCCTTTCATTTCATGAAAGGAAATGAAGCCTTGCAATTTCAATGAGTGTGAATTTGACAAGGTTGGTCCATTTCCCTACACTTAATATCATTCCGTTCCATTGCATTGTTTTCACTTTGTTTCAAATTTTTTTTAATGGTGCTTCATATCATTCCTTTCCATTGCATTGTTTTCACTTTGTTTCAAATTTTTTTTAATGGTGTTTCACTTCTGTGATTTCTTTTGTCTATTCACTTCACTTGGGTTCCTGAATTTGAGATTTCATTGCATATAATTTTGACAAATTTCAGTCCTTTTCACTCCACCTGATTTCATCCCACCCAATTTGGTTGTAGTGATTTCCACATTTTCTTTTTTTTTTCCAATTGCATTTGATTTTATCATATGTCCTTTCCAGACTGTTTGACTTCCTGCACTCATTTCAAGATTTTTTTTCCTTTCAAGAATGGAAATTCTCCACAGACAGAAACCTACTCCCTAACTCTAAAATGGCATCCTTTGTGGTGCCCTGGTGCCCAGGTGTGGTCAGGGCTGGTGTTATTTTTACCTTACCTAAAAGCAACGTGTAAAGTTTATTCTACAGCTAACTTCAATTGTCTTGGTTCTAGGCATGGTGGCTTTTCTGATGTTAAAATGCATTTTCCTTTCCAAATGCAGTATGAAGCTAATTTACCTAATTCTGTGACAGGTTACACCAGAGGTCCTTGCAATCTGAAGTTAAAACCACAGCATTTGACATAGCATGGGTGAGTCTTTCACAATGAGCACATTTATTGTGTTAGAGAATTTAGGAGCACTACTTCAACAGTAGGGAGCAGGAATAAGACCACAGCACCCTCAAATCTGTCATAAGTGGCCTTAGGTGAAACTTGAAGACCAAAGAGTAATTTTCCCCCTAAGTTTCAGTATTAGAGAAATTTCACTTCCAAGCTGTAAATAAGAGTCAGATCACAGAAAATACAGTAGTTCACTCATGGACCCTTTGATCCAAGGACACCTGATACAAGCAGCATTACTAGCTGAAAACTGCTTGCTAATGTTGATTTTTCTGATAAGACTGCAATTTCAGCCTTCTAATGGGGGTCGTTCCCGGGCAACTGATTCAAGTCCAATGTCTGCTGTAGTCACTGCAGATACAATAGTCCATATCTGCATTCCTGCTGTGGTGGATGGTCCAGAATGGGTGCCTGCCCTCTAGTGTTTCTATAGCTTCACCTCCTGTAAGGACAGCTTTGAAAATAATTAACTACACATAAATTAAAGTACACACACGTACATACCATGTAGCATAAAACACAACTTTCTTTGCAGGCAAAGGCAAGGCTTTGTTCACAGCAATGCCATGGACAGAATATTTTTTGCTTATAATGTTTGTTATACATGTCTGAGTTCTCCTTTTTCTGTATCCTAGCTGATTAACAATAAGCATAGCTTTTCAAATCCTAGAATCCAGAAAGTTTTTCCTATAGCTTATAAATACTCTTTGCTTAATATTGTCAGATCCTGAACTTGAACCACTGAAAGGAGAGCAAAAGGACTCTGACAGGAGATTTCTTACCTACAAGCCCCATGAAAGCAAGTGGGATCCACAGCTGCTTCTGCCAAGTAGTCCCTGGCCACCTAAATCTGCTTCATTACTGGTTAGTCAAATTGAAAGAAACCTCTTTTCTTTTCTCTGCATCAAAATATTTTAAAATAACTATAACAAAATAATAGTTATATTAATTTCAGAATATTTTGAATCGCCCAGTCTTGAGAGGATATCTGGCATATCCTAAGGGAAATGTCACTGTACTGGAGATCTAGGGACATGGACCATTCATTTCCTCTAGCTTTTCAAGAGTGTGATTCTTTCTCTAGCTCTTGTTGAGAGCTTTGATGGAGTTGGAAAGATAGTCTGTTGTAGAACATTTTCTTATTTCAGCCTTTAGCAGAAAATTACACAGTATTGCACGTGGTAATTTATTTTTAGGAATCAAGATGTCCATATCAGACTGTTCAAAGACACTGACTATTTCAGAATAAGCAGATGCTGGATGGATCTTTTTATGGTTTGCATATACACACCAAACTCTTAAAGGTAGAGATCTACAAACCAGAATACCTTTGCTTATAAAACAGCTCCAGTTTGCATCACTGCAGACTAACAAATACAGCATTGAGGAGATAATAATAACAGTTATATATTTATATAATTGTAAATACCAGCATGGAGCAGAAACACACTAATGCACTTTGTCTGGTATGTTAGTGAGTATTTGACCTCTTTCCCTTAGGCCCCAGTTTCTGAAATAGCATGTAAATCAATATTATTATATTTTTCTACTTAACAAATCCCCCTCACTATTGCTAAAAATTACTTACCAACAGGTCCAAATCACTAATTCTTTTTATAATCAGCCCCTCAATTATCTGGAGATAAAGGCACAGCCCATTAAGCTCCAGGTACCTACAGGTGCTGAGTGCCATCATGAGCTTGCTTTGGAAAGTGCCTGTCCTCTGCACCCAGGAGCTGGGGATCAGCAGGCTGTGCCAAAACAAACCCTCATACATTCCCTCTTCCTCCAATAGACACATCTGCTTTTCTCTTGACTCTGATTACTGGGAATGGACGGCTGAAAGCCCCACACAGTCAGGTAGTTTCAATTCCTTTTCTAAGCAGTGTGTGTGGATGTTGTGTGCAACAGGGGGAAGCACTTTTTAGTCATAGCCTGCATTGCTGAGGGCTTTGGAGGTATATCCAGAGCCTTACTTGGACACAAATCTCTAGACTTAAACTGTGTGTAAGCTGCATGGTAAATGCACCCCAGGAAGTGATTTAGCACAGAAAATTGCATATTGGATCATTTTGCCTTTTCTAAAGACACTGTGGATAGCTGGGGACACTAGTAAGAATCCTTTATGTGAGGATCTCCTGGCCCTGTGTGCACTGTTGTGGAGGTTGGCATTTCTCCAGGATTTCCCAGATCCAGCGCTTGAAAATAAAAATTATGCAAGATATTGACAACAAAAAAGTGCATATTTTTTGTTCAAGAGAGCTTCCTGTCAATTGCAATGAATCTCCAGACATTTTTTGAAATTTGCAGTTACCCAATTTTCAGTTTGGAAAAAAGTCCCCAGTCTGCTTGTAAATGATTCATTTCCTGAGTGCCACACAAACCCAGCTAGTTAGAGGTGATTTCTCTGTGCATGGCAAATGAAAGGCTCTGGACAAATTGAAATTCAGAAGTTGTTAGGATCTGGAGCTCTTGTTAGAGCTAGACCTAATCATAAGATACTAGTATTGTATCTACTAATCATGGATTATAATAAAGTTTTAGCTGGACCTCCCCATAGTGATAGGAGTGGCAGTATAATCTAATGACACACATGGAAGGCCTTCAAAGGAATAATATTGACTTGGTCTTTTGACAGTTGGAGAAAAGGAGGTAAAGGCAGAGAATTTACCTACAGAGCAGGTAAATTAATGGCCCCAAAATCCTGAGGGAAGAGTCAATTTCAGACAAATTCCTGCAAGTACTTTTGGTCTATTTTAACACATGTGAAGGCATTTATAATGCTCCTGTGGAAAAGAGGAATGAACTTGTCTTTAACCTCTGTGCATGACACCTCATCTTTAAAAATGTGAGTGTCTTCATTGTGACCAACAAGATGGAGGCAGCCCCTTGTGCTAGTCTGCCCTGGGGAGTGAGACACACAGACATGTTACAGACACTCATTTCCTGCCTTAGGCAACTTTACTCTTTCACTTAGCAGAGTCAGGAGAAAACCACAGAGTTGCTCTGCAGTGAGGTGAGTGCAATTGCTGGAGACCCTGGAGTACAAAGGTTATTAAGGAAACAAAGGTGCCTACTATAAATCTATGCATGGATAATCCTATTTACTCCCAAATATACAATAAAAAATATCCTAAGAATATAAACTGAGAGGTTTTTTTAATGTTGGCTTGTTTTGTTTACCTACTTTGTTTATGATATGTTATATATATATATGCCTTATATGTATATGTCTCATAAATATAAGACAAACCCAACTATTCCTGTTAAGAGCATTGTGAAAAAGTATAAAGTTTTCTTTTCTTCCAACAGCACATCCTTGCAAGAAAGCATCTTTAAGAGCATTACTGCTACTGGCAGGAGAGATACCTTGCTTCCAAATTCCTGCCGGAGTGAAAGGCAGCTGTTATCCAGCTGTGCAGACAGAAGCCCCCATTACCCACCCAGGCTTACCAATACAGTGCATTGGCTGGATCTGAAAATGCTGATAATGCTGCTTTGCAACACGGAGATTGAGAGGCTCTCCAGAGAGCAGTTCTGCTTGCACTGCAATGTTGGCTTGGTGCATGGCAGCAGCATCCAGCAGAGCCCAGCAGGAGAGCAGTGTCACTGGCATTCTGCTGTGTCCCTGCATCACTGCCCATTGTGCTCTTTTATAGGTACATGTGCAAGAGGTGCAGCACCCGAGCAGAGTGCTCTGACAGCTCTTCATGCTGGCCTCAGATTAGCATCAACCTGTGCCCCTGTTACACACTCAAACTCAGAGTCCAAGGGGGCCTGAGACTGCCCTGCAGAGATGCTTGCTATTCAGGCTGATCTCAATCTCCTCTGACACACTTTGCGAAGCTCTGAGACTTCAGAGGAAGCAGAGTGTGGTTTTTGTATCAAGGGCTGGCTAAAGTGATGTTCTCATGCCTCAGCAGTTAGAGATACAAGCAAAATCTCTTCATTCTTTTTACTTTTGCATGCTCATTGTGGGGTTGAAAATGCACTGTAAGTCTGCTGACAGCTATGTCAGCCTTTGGGCACACAGTCAACTTCAGCGTGAGCACCTCTTAGCCCAGCACACGAGTAATGCACAGTAGCCATTACCAAAAATGTCACTGATCCATTTTTCCATTACCGTCAGTGTACTTTGAAACAGGCTTAATGGAGGTGAATTACTTTGTTTTAGGCAGCACTATGAGATTGTTCCTTTAGAAACTGCTTTATGAAAACCTCTACAGCTCATATAGATGCAGAGAGAATGTGGATACTTTCTGAAATCCTGAAAGGAAGAAGCAGGTTTACAAGTTAACTGTAAATATTGTGATTTCATAAATGACCAAATGTTACACAAAAGTAGGTTCAGATCCATACATACTGACTCTATAAAGGCAAAACAGCAGATTCTGTAAGTTATTAATTCTAGTATTTTGCATATGTATAGAACTTACCCTATATATCTTTATCATAAAACAAACTTTATAATAAAACAGATTTCAAGGTGTCTGCTCAGGACATCCTCTGCCATCCCCCATATACTTCAAACTCATTGTTATCTCTAAAACTGTTGTACTTTGGGTTAGATTTAGCTGTGTCTGCTGTGATTTCTGGAACTCATGAATGATTACCATGATTAAAATCAGTGTTTGAATTACACACAGGACTTTAAGGAAAGACTGGATGTGGCACTTAGGGCCATGGTCTAGTTTCCAGGGTGATGTTAGGTCATAGGTTGGACTTGATGATCTCAAAGTTCTTTTCCGGCCTAGTTGATTCTGTGTTCCTGTGACTCCTAATTCTAATCTAAGATTTTTCAATACTTGTGTAACTTTGATTACATTCTTTGCCATGAATTTATGCCCAAGTTCAACTGAAATACACTTTTCTACATTCTTCCTCCACGACAAACCCATGCATTTGAAAATGTTAGCATGTACACCCAGAGTATTCAGGTGGTCATCAAATTTTAAGTACTGTTGAAAGTGATACTGAGCCTTTGAAATACCAAGTTTTATGCATTTCCTGTGGAACAAAATCATAAAAATACACTAAATAATCGACTTAACAATGTACTAAAAATCTAACTTTTAAAGAATTATTTATTAAAATCTTTCTGAGACCTGATTTACAAAAGATAGTAAAGATAGCAGGTTGGTTTGCAATAAAATAAATCTTGTATTGACTGCAGTTAAAATTAATATACTGGAAAAAACAGAACAATAATTTTCTGCTAGATACTTCTCTGCTCCATTGAGTATTGCTTTGAGCAATTATACCTTATCATGTTGTGCTGATAGCAGTGTGGTAATTTTATTACCTTAATAACACAACATTTAGCTAACACTGCACTATTTAGTTCATGTAAGGAAGAAAGATATTAATTTGTTTTAAATAAGAGTCTGTCTTTAATAAGCCACTAACTGCATCCCAAAAGACACATAGAGACCTGTGCAATGCTAAATAAAGGGGTGAAGCCAAATGAAAAATATTATGGGGTTCCTCTTTTCACTTAGATGAGAATAATGCCCTCTTTTCCTTTGTCACCAACCACTGCAACAGCTCAGGAAGTGCTGGGACTGTTCTGGCTGAATTTTGTGCACACCATGGTGAAGGACAACAAGCAGGGGTGAGACTGGAAAAGAAGAGGGAGCTGTGGAGTCGTGGGGAGAGGGCTTTGGAAGAGGCAGTGGCATGTGCATAGCTGGAAAAGCAGCTGTGGCTGCAGGCTGCCTGTACATGGTTCTTTCATTAAGAGTCTGTTTAGTTTCAGTACCCTGGGATTTCCTCAAGTTACAAACCAGGAGACAGTGTGTGAAACACAGAAACTCTATTCTATAACTGCTTAAAACATCAAGCTTTATAACATTGGAGTGCTACTTTTCCTCCACAGAGGCCTTTTCTTAGCTGGAAAAAGTAAATCAAGGAAGTGTCTGTCATGCAGGTTGTACTAAAATTATGCTTTGGAAAATAAACTTATCTGTAACAACGTGTTCTTCAACTGAATCTGCCTGGCATTTTTTATTTCATAAAGAGAAACAGGTCATTTTCACTTGTTTCTTACTTGCTTATTTGAAGAAAATGGTAGTCAAGCAGTGATGGTTATTTCTTGAATGTTCATCTCAAGAGATAAAAATCATAAAAAACCAGCAATTGCCTGACAGCCAGCGGAATGTCAAAACATGGGAGCCATAACAAGCTGCGTTTCTGCGTGTTTTTCCTGTGAGTATAATTGTTCTTGTTGATGGTTATGTACTTTTGAAAGTAAATAACAAAATGTTACCAGTGAAAATAACTAAAAACAGAGAAAATCAAAGGATAACAAAGGGATTTTTCTGTTCCCAGCAGAGGAAATTTTCTGACCTTGTGGAGAAGGCAAGGAAGGAAAGGGGATATAATGGCCTGTACTGGAACACATGTTGAAATATGCACCCGTCCTTCTGATTATGTCCCTCTGATTATGCCTTTAAAACTGGCTGGCATGGCCTATGCAGAATGTGAACCCTAGCATGCAGGAGCTGTGTGTGTCATGTTGGCTACCTTGGCCTGACCAAATAAAATCCTTCTCTCGAATCCAGGAAGGGCAAAGCCTTAAGTGCCTTCCATATCTGCAATTTCAAGCACACTGTCCATGTATCTAGTTTTCTGTTAGAATGCCATTCAAAAAAAAAAAAGAGTCCAAAATTTATAAACTTATTTATTAACTTAACTGTGATGGGGTTTGGGGGGGTTTTGTTTGTTTTGATTTCTTTTTTCCTAGTATCACACAATATATCACAGTTTCACAACATTTTAGGTTTTGTGAGACCTACAATGTATCACCCATTCTTTTGTGGTACTGTTTAGGATTTTATTTTTAGAAGTAGAAATTTGAGAAATTTACTCTCAGAAGTCATATAGGAAGGGGTATATGGTTGGGATACAGATAACATTTTTGTTGGGCCTCTAGCAGGTCTAGTCAAGGAGGCTTGGGAACATGGAACAGGAAAATGTCAGAGACCTCAGAGCATTGCACAGAGGGGGTGGGATGGGATTTAAGTTAGCAGGTTAAACTGAAGACCCAGGGAAAAGACCTAAAGTACTGATCTGGAAGAAAAGCTAAAGGCTGCTTGGTATCTGTTCAACAATTTTATTCTGGAAGTAGAGAATGCTGTAGATCTGTTTGGGAGCACGTGATATTTGTTATAACCTGCCCCAGAAGGGGAGGGTAAGCCAGGTACTTGATAATAGATCCCTTGGTGTGTATTAGAGTGAAATAACACTGAATGATCAATGTTCATAAATATATATATATATATCTGTAGAGTTTATTTTAGAACAGTTTGGTTACAATGGAAAGGACTACATAGACATTTTTGTTATTATCTATAATAATAAAAAAGCATAAAGATAATACTTAAGAAAATGTCTAAGGGAAAAGAAAGAAAGGATAAGAGTAGAAAGATACACAGTTAACAACAGTGGGTCCAGCAGGAAGACTTGGTTGCAATTTTGATGAGTGATAGTGGCACTCCTGATCCATTGGGAATGGGGAAAGCACACAAAACACAAAGTTGAATGGGTTAACATACTCTCCTCTTGGGGTGAGGAGTTTTACACTGTATGATGTAACATTTTGGGGCTCTTTGATGATTTATGGCCCCTTCTGAGACATTACAGCTGCCTCTCATCAGCACAGTTCAGTGAATTATGGCCTGTGGGTGAATGTCCCTGTACTTCCCCAGAGAGGAGTTTTCACATATGAGCCAATTTTCCAAGAGAGAGCCCTGGAGTGATAAAAAGCACTATCTCACCTTCCAGGATCTGCTTGTTATTGGCCTCTTCCTTCAGCTGGCTCAAACCCCAGCTTGTAGCCCCCGTGGTGGAGGTGCAGCCCCTCTGTATGTGGGTGTTACTTTGCCCCAGGTCAGCAGAGCACTCTGTGGCTTTTGCAAATGACCAATTGTTTTGAGTCATTGCCATTAACATTCCGTCTCTCACGCATTATTTACATGAAGGAAATAAGGAGATGACAAATATCAGAAACATTAGGTTTTAAGCCTGTTCTTAGTGAGAAAACTAATTTATTCTGGGAGTTATGCCCAATGCTAGCTGGGATTGAGAGTGTGTGAATAAACTGCACATCTCACTGCTTCAAACCACTTATGCATTTTACCCTGTTTTATTTTATTTGGTATCTACCCTTTGTTAGTGGATAATCAAATAGGAAGAGGAATCAGGAGAACTGGGTCTGCAAAGATAATGCAATGTGTCCCTGAGGAGATGCCTTCTTTAGGATAATAGGCACTTTAAAACAAGGCACTGAGAAAGTGTATTGATTCCTCTAAGATTAACTTTTGCATTGGCACTAAGGCTGAGGGACATGTATGATTTACTGATCAGACTTCACATGATGGGAAATGTGTGCTCTTCAGACTTTCTCTCTTGTTCTTGTTCCTGATGAGTGGCAAAAATGCCTAACAATATATTCCTCCATGCCTTTCCTTGTCACTTAGACTTATGAAAACAACTTTAAAATAAATGTTGGTGTTGGTAGGTCACAATGGCATTTAATGTCAAGGCACCTCCATGCTTTCTTGCTATAGAGCTAATCAGAAAACAAAGAGGTTGGGTTTGTTTCCAGTAAGTATGTCTCAGACTCTTGAAACAGGAATTTGATTTAAAATAGATCTTTCTATAGACCTCTTGAGCAATATCAAGATCTCATCTTGAACATGGGCTACCATGAGATAATTATTTTAGAAGCTGCCTTCAGCAAGATTGCAAATGTCAGCAGCTTTTGGGGAAATTAGGATACTTTCAATACCTCAGAGTAAAGGAAGAAGTTAATTTTATAAACCTGGTGCTCCTGGTGTAGAAACGGATGTTTGGATGCGTTTGTTCTTCAGAGAACTCTGCTTTCAGATCTGTTAGATTCACCAATAAATGTAAGTGATCTGAGAAACAGCTCATTTAACTGGGGAAGGCTGATCAGGGAAGCTTTGCTACCCTGTTGAAACTGAAGCAGTGCTGAGACTATTAACTCTAAAATGCTGTGACAGGGTTTTGTTAGTGATCTTGGTGTTGTGTTAGCAACTTGGCTAATGCATAAATGCTGACACACAGTAACAAAGTCCAAAATTCTCAAACGTGCTATTCTTGGAGAGTGTAAAAGCACTTTCATTAATGAAAGTATAACAGTACACTTGTGCTTAAAAAAATAAATGTGAGGCATAACTACTTTCCTAGATGACCTTGGTAAGAACTGAATGTTTTGAACACTCCAGAAAACGTTTATTTTTTTCAAGCTGGTGTACTAAATCCAAGAAACCTTCAAGCAGACTTTTTTCACAAAGTCAGAAAGGAGAAATTCTTCCTCTTTTCCTCCCCTTCTTTTCTGCTTCAGATATTCTAGTGACTTAGGTAAGTGTTCATGGTCAGTGAACTGATGCAAGCTTTTAGACGATGTTTCAAATTTTATGTGAATGTTAATGATTTTTTTAATAGTTTCCATACATGGTTTCCAAATCCAGAATAAGTTTATGTGTGAGATTTGATGAAAATGAGGAGCTACTCTGTATTTAGAAAACAGCCATATCACTGCAGTGAACTGTGTTATTTTGAAAAATTTTTAAAGCTTAAAAAAGTTAAGCTTTTAAATAAGTTAAAAAGTTAAATAATCTTACAACTGTTTTGCCTGGAATAGAGGATCTAGCCTATTCCATGGATATCTATCACTGAAATCAGCTACAATGAATTCTCCTTCTGTGGGAATTCAGAGGCACTACTTGCTAAATGGGAGTAAAAGATGCACATGTTGTGAGTACTCTGCTTTTCACTCCCAGCACCTTTAAATGCATAAATGCATTGACATAGTCTTCATGCAAGAGGAAAAGTTATCTCAGAATGACTTTATTTCAAAACACACCTGCAACTAGAAACTTATAAAAATATATCCTTTCCTGAGGATCTTACTTTAACATTGCACAATGGTTGTTCCTTTCTATATTAATTTCAGACAAGTTAGTATCAAGGAAATAATGAGGGAAAGACTATTCTACTATTTAAGAATGCAATTAAATAAATGAAACTGAAATCTTCCCTCAAATTAGATGACTACCATCAGTTTTGCTTATTACCACTTTTCTATAGATTTGATTGTTACCCCTTTCCTCTTTGTGAGTAGCCTTCTAGAAGAGCCACTGGTTTACACAGATGGAGAAGATTGTTTTCCCTGGGTTCTCTGAACTCTCCACACTGCCATATCCAGTATTTCAGGCACTCCTTCAACAGATTTAAAGACCTCTTGTTGGAGAGTTTGACTTTAGTGGATGTTGCATATTTAATAAATGGGTCCAGAGGATGATGTGCTCTCTTCAAATTGTTCATTAATTCTTTTTCTGAGTAAAACTCTCTTCCTCAATTCTACTTAGATGCTTTTAACTTTAATTACTGCACTGAAGGTCAATGGCAGTGTGCCTGTTTCCTTGTACCTCTTTTCCAAGTGTTCAAAAATAACTTTAGCCATCCAAACCTTAAGCTGCAATATAGAAATAAGAAGCTTCCATTATCACTTCTTAACACACAAAATATCATTAGGAAATCACAGTCAGACCAAATTTACAGTATTTTCAAATTCAAAATGGATAATCATACACTTTGACATTTACAGAATATCAATCTATGCAGACAAATTCTGTAACTACCTTCTAGTAGCCCTCTTTAGGTTATGTATTTGAACTTTTTAAAATAATTAAATACATAAATATAGAAATCAGGGTTTGATTCCCTTCTATCCTTTGCAATATTTTTTTCACAAAGCAGTGTGCACCTGAGTCCCAGCAATACGGTGGAAATTTATAAAAGCATGTGAAAGAGGTTTTGTAGTAATAATCAAAGGTATCATCTGATACAAAATAGCCTTATTTTAATTAAATGCTGACTAATAACTTCTTGTCAGTACTTCTGACTGTCTCAATAAAGAATGGCCTTTCCATTTTTCTAGTTTAAATAAATACACACTGATT